AGAGCAGTCCTGACTACAACATTCCATTATAACCAGTCCTGAACTACAACACTTCATTACAACCAGTCATGAACTACATTGCATTATAACCAACCATAAATAACAATACATTATAACTAGCGGTGAACTACAACACACCAGATAATCAGCTCTAAAGTACAGATCATTATATCCAGCCCTGGACTACGACATAGTATACCAGATCTGAACTACAGAATAACATTACTTCCGAAATAGTCATCATTTATATCATTATCATCATCATTCGATGTATCTATTTCTCTCATTTCTTTGCAAGAGTCGTGCTGATTTTAACTCCAATCAAAACTAAAAAATTGCAATAGCATGAAGTGATATCGGCGCGGGGTTGAAAGACTTTAATCCTAGAATTCTTAATTATTAATATAATAATGCTGTCTCTGGTGCAGCGTAGGTAGATAGAAATAGAAAATGAAACATTGACTCGTCTGCCATCTACCTGAACTGAAGGGCAGTGTTCGGAGGAGGGGAAGCGACACCATTTACGACGCTACTACCAGCGTCAGAAACCTCCGCTCCCTCTTCTCTAACTGCTTATGACCCACGCCAGGGACTTCGGTGCCGACAGCGCAGCCGAATATCGAAGACCGGATGCAGCGGCGCGTCGGCGGCAGAGGCCCGCTAGGCGGCGGCGGCGGCGGCAACGCGCTCCCGCGATGTCGATCCAGGCCACCGGAAGGGGAGGGGCGTGTGACGTCACCTGCGCTTCTTACCCGCATACCAACGAGACCGCAAGCCTCCGCACCACCCTCTCCCTCCCCTCCCTCTCTCTCCCCCGCCCGCAAACGAGAGAACTCTCGCGGTTGATCGATCACGGCCACGGGCCCTCTGCCGATAAGGGGGGAGGCCGATTATCACCCCCAGCCCCCCCCCGGCCAATCCCACTTCCACGCACGCGCCTCGGGGGATCAGTCACCTGGCCGACTGGCTGGACCGCCCTAGTCCCTGGTTTCTCTGGCGTTGTCGTAATCTGCTCGCGTGACCTGCTCCTATAATTGGAGTGGTTTCGAGGAGGCATGCCGGAGGTTCTGTGTATGAGGAACTCAGCAAAACAAGGCGGAATGAAATAAGGCAACGAGAGAATTTTGCTGAACGGAAAGAGAAGTGCTTCTGCAGACCGTTTTATGCAAATGTAACAGATAATGTAGGGAATTATGCGCAATTAAGAGTGGTCAAAATTGGATACAAATACATTGATTGAATGTCGAAAGCAACACAGCACTTCGGACAATCGGACCTATTTTCAGGCGGTTATGTTTTAAATCGCCTGCCGATTCCTGAATTTCACTCTTACTGATGAACATACGCACACTCTTCTCTTCTAGTCGCGAATTTTTCTGTTCCACTCCACTATCTATTCAGACGTCAACGTTCCTGAAGCGTTGGCAACATTTTTCACTAAAGCTGATTAGGAAGCTTTACCCAGATGAATGACGTAACGATACGTATCTTTTTAGTTTGTAAAAGTGGTCATCGAACTGACAATTATTGTGTCCCTATACCATACCTCTTTACCGCAGGCCTCTGGTCGGGATTTCGGCGGCAAATTTGAAACTATAATACGTATAAAGCTCTGGCGGGAAATTTGAAACTGTCGCCCGGTTGCCCGGTTTCTCGGTGTGACTCCCACCTTTAGTGCCAAGAGAGGGGTTGCGATGGGAAGACAGGTGGTTCTCCATGCCCTTCTACCTTGATCTCACAGGGTGGCCTCCAGTTGTGTCTTCGATTTCTTTAAATGTTAATCAAGGTACTAAACACTATTGTTAATGTATGATTTGCGTAATAATCGTTCAAAAAAAATTTCTCATAAAAATACACGAAGAACATAAATCATGCCCAAATTTAAAGAAATTGCAGATTGTTTCAACAATGAAATCTACCAGATAAGTTTTGAAGACACAATAAATAAAATGTATTTTTTAGGATAAGCGATGATAGAGACGACAAAAATAATTTTGACCAATGGAATACATTTCTTACTGCTTTGAAAACCAAGAACATTTTATTTATTCCCTTTATTAAAAGGATTTTGAGGGACTTGAGAACTTAGTATTAATCAAGAAAACAGATTGTACAACAACAATTCAGATTGAATATATCATATCTCGTCCATTAGTCGCGAACATTCAAGATTTAACTAAATAATTCGCCATTGTTTTTGTTTAGAATATAATTAAATGTAGGGTGTTACTCATCAATTATGCATGCATCCCCTTCATAAACAGAGTATTTTTTCACGAACTCTAATGTAGCTAATGTCTGCAGAATGATTGGATCTCTCTATTATATTTTCTTGCAATCCCGTTAAATCCCTGACATTTTGGGCACACTTTGTACGCAAATATTAATTTCCGCTCACAGTAATTTTATATATACAGCCTCAAGAGAGAATTAGAAATGAATGCTGGATGTCATATTAGCTTCTGAAGTAGTAATAATGTTTACATAAATGCAGAATGAACATTAACAGCTTACAACCATTCATGAAGACTCGTAACGAGTTGTTACTGTACTTCAGTACCACTTTACGACGTGTAAGCTAGCGCATAACACAGGAAAAACGTGTATATGGGCCTACTATATGTGCATGAAAAGGTATGGGCAGATAGCCTTGTATTAAACATAATGTAATAGCCACGATAAACGAAACTCTACATGTAATTAGCCATTCTTGTCTATTTCTCTCCAAAAACTTATAAAATTCAAACCTTGTCATTAATTAAAAAAGATAAAATTTGTTTGTACCTCATTGATATCTGTATTAATCTTCGATTATAAACAACAAAATATGGAAACAAAATAAAACAGTGACAGTATGAGAATGATTTTCTATTTTATTTAGTTAATGTTATGTTCTAGAATGTTCATGAAATTTGTAATTTTTTTGAAAAAATGTCTTTTCCACATTTTACACTGTTATTAGATTAAGATTCATTGTAGTGTAAATTATAAATCCTCTCGCATATTAATTGATACCGGTTTGATTTTTGAGATTAATAAAACCCACAGAAGATTAAGAAAAAATCCGCGAAATATGTCGGGCTTGTGTTTATAGAGAGTATAATTTACAACATTGTGGGAGATTATTTCTTTCTTTGTTCCTTCATCATGGAATTCCACAAAGTTTTCACCGAAACCATATAAATGCTACAATTTCCAGTCTCGACCACACTTATATGTAATTACATACCTGCGGCACACACTCTTTCCTTAAAAAGAAAAAACTTAACATCTGGTTAAAAGATAGAATTTTATGAATGCTCTAAATTCCGTTGCAAGTTAGTTACTTCAAATATTTTGTAGTAATAGTTGTTTTTCTTGATAATAATGCTATTGTATGTGACCACTCATAAACATTACAAGTTTTTAAAATATAAAATCCTGTAAATCATGCAAACACACACTTTTATCGTAGGGGTTATCCAACGCGAAATATATATTATTTTTCGAATATTTATAGGAGTTCATAAAACCGTAATCTAATAATGTCCACAGATTCTGTTTATAAATAACGATAAACTTGAGTACTACAATGTTTTATAATTTTACTTTTTAATGTTGATTAAGTTTCTTGACTCATTTTTCTTTTTGTTTTCCTGTGTTTGATATTTAGAACATGGCTAATACGTTCCATGAATGCAATATATTTTTTATTATTTTATAAACAGTATATTTAGTAGCTCAATATGTTGCTCTTATACAATTTGAAGAAAATATTGGTCCACTTTCCCTTCATCTTACAAGATGGTACCCCATACTGTTATAATACAGCATGTACAGTTTTGAAATCAAAATCATTTGATTTTAATTTGAATATAACACATTGTCACGTTACGTTGTATACCTAAATTTACAATATAAACATGATATATTGTTGATTAGTAAACCATCACCATAAAAATTTCATCCCAAGTTTTTGAAACAAATTCCACAGTCAAAAATTTAGTTATCTTAACAATTATTAAACTGACATATTACTTCTCTAATCATGAACTATTTTTTTACCTGATTGAAATAGTGTACATAATCATAATCTCCTTTAGTGTAACAATTTGTAAACTACATATATTCATTATCATAATGACACCATGATGATCATATGTCGATTTTTTCCGCAAAAAATAATGGGATATAATAAGTATGATCAGTTGCTTTTGCGTTTGTAGTTGTATTTTGCCACTGAGATCCCACAGATTGAAAGGTTTTAGTTCTGGGTTCTGATAAAATTTTAACGACAGACTACTTGGTCGAATAATTCTGTCTACAAGAATATCCTTACTGTCTTTTCTCATTAGTTGTACAGTATTTTTCATAGTTTTCTCCAAAATATTAGTGATGGAAAGAGGGGAAATTCTTTAATAAACGAATGTCGCAATTTCTTTTCTTCTGCGTTCATTAACCTTTTTAGAACCGTTAATTTTTAAAAAGAAGGTCTAACGAATATAATCAAATAATGCCAACTCCTCGTTGTCAATTTTATCCACAATTCAATTACGTATTGTCAAAGAGAGCGAGAAGCTCCAGAATACGTACGTGCATAATTTACTTCTCTCCACACGTCAGTTTTTACATTTTTGCGGTAAATAAATAAAAATGATTGTTCAGTTCATCTCAAATGTCACAGTTTTCATTTCTTATTGACTTCTTCTTCTTCTTCTTCTGCATCTTCTTCTTCTTCTTCTTCTTCTTCTTCTTATTATTATTATTATTATTATTATTATTATTATTATTATTATTATTATTATTATTGTTATTGTCGTTAACATCATCATCGTGTTTGTTTGGTCAGAAAAAACTCATGTACATAAGAGGGGTTTTAGGGTGATTCTGTAGATGTATGAGAAACACGAATGCACCATTTATCAGTTCTTGAATATAGATGATAATATTGATGGTATAGTGGTGAACGAGGTGCATGTGTAGTAGTGCGAATGATGCTAATAAAGCTGCTCTGGTTGCAGATGGGAGCGCTGTCGAGGAAGGAGCCTCGGGCCGGAGGCCTAGCAACTCTACTCTGCTTGTTACTCCTCCCGTCTCCCGGGGAGTCCTTCAGCGTCTTGGAAGACCCTACTCCATCTCACAGACAAGGTAAACGCATTATCTCACTGAATATGATTAATATTTATTGTAATATTTCACGATACCTACCAGGTAGAAGATAGCCAATTTATTTTATTCGAAACCGTCTAGGAAATGTCGCATTTTACACAGTACTCGGAAATGAAAGTTCAACTGCTTTCAACATCAGCCTAGAAATGAATCGAAAGTACTTTCCTTACATTTATTGAAAGTACAATAATTAGATAACAAAATAAGCGCCAACCCCGAAATGGAAAAATACATAGTCTGTTCTCATGATTGTCAATTACATTGGTACCCCTCACGGATAAATTGTCATAAAACTGAGGTCTCCAAAAAATTATTGGACATCACACGGCAAATACGAATGTCCATAACAAGATGGGATTCCTAGACTCGGCCTGTCGGATTCGTCCTGGAATCCTCCCGTCTAGTCATGGATACATCCACTTTCTTGCCTTGGAGTGTAAATTATTATTCCACTGTCACATCGCACTCGCCGAATACGAAGCTACACCATGGGTTCTTCAGTTTTCCTCACCGAGCATCACTTAAAATTTACAGGGATTTTGGCCTACACCATCCTGAGGTACCAGTATCTCAACTGGGGAGCTCCGTTCTGTCAACATCTGCAATAGACAATTCAAAGGGGGCCTTGCAAAATATTGAACAAGTGAACCCTGCATTGTTCAACTACAAAGAGTAGCGTGTTTTAATTAATGCAGCTGGAGTAAGTGGAATTTCTCCTATAAATATGTTCGAGTATTTCAGTACCAGATACATTCTGCACATAGTTGCACTCATTTATTACTAGTTCTCAATTCAGTCTAATCTTAGGTTACCTATTTCAGTGCAGGTGTTTCCCTTTATCAGCTCGTGTACCACATTAAAATTGTCTTTGCTAGCCATTAGAGGTACGTATACCACCGTCTGGCAATCTCTTATATACTACACCCGGGGGGCGATTGACAACAAAGAAATACATTCAGATATTAATACTAGAATACTAGTGATGGGTAGCATTTATGGCATATATTTACTAGCATATATTTTTTACAGATAATCTACATTGAAATTGTACATTTTAGAAATGTGTAAATTTTACTTATCACTACTAACAAGCACAATCTTTCAATATTAGTATTTTAGGGTTAAGAGTTCAATTGGAACGCAATATTGCTTCTAATGCAATTCATAATGAACGAAAAAATATAAATATAATTCAGTGTCTTATTGAAGAACAATTTATTAAATTGTGGGTCAGTATCAATTCCAGTAACTCGTCTTAACGTTACAATCTCAACATGACGTGTGTTTTTGAAAACCTTCGTTGAAACATTTTATCGTTTAATGTGAACTTTTTATCAGACACATAAACATTATTTAAACAATTTTGTATACAATATTTACCGTTAACCCACCTACTCTTGACATTGGTATGCGATTGTTAAAGTTTAGCAGTACTTGCTTTGCTCTGAAACGTGAAGCTTGAATTAGAATTAGAGACGTTATTGTATATCTACAAAAATTACATAGGAACGTTACAGTCCATTCCGGTCTGTACATGTCCCTTTGTCTGTATCTCCCCAATATGGATTTCCACAATATTTCGGCGGCAACCACCAATTTTATTAAAGTACAATGTTTACGCGAAATATCCATTTAGGAATGACGCATCCAAGGTGGATGGGGCTCATGGGGTTTCACCCTTCCCCTGAATCAAACGATACATATCACAAAATATAGCTTTTACTCATTTTTTTAGTAACGAAAGTCGTTAATATATCAGTTGCTAACGTTACAAACCGTAGTAATAAGTGCACAAATAAAAATCGACATTATATTGAGTGTAAGGGACATTATATTCCGTGTAAGTGCTGCCCCGCTCACCTCGCTGTGTGCATGTGTGGCAGGGAGGCGCATGTTCGGCGGCTACCGCATCGTGCCGCGCGCCTGCAAGCCCACTGCGGAGGCGGGTGGCCGCGAGGGGAAGGACGGCGCCACGGGCGTCTGCATGTTCAACTACGAGTGCACGCGCAGAGGCGGAGAGGTAAGTCCAGGATCCGCCCCCGCGCGCCCCGTCCGCTTCCTCCCTTCCTGACGATGCCTCTGAACAGGAGGTCCTACGGTGGCAGGATTTTCGAGGCTAGCTGGATAGCTAGGTCGAATTCCGCCGCTGTCCAGGAACCACCCCCGCGCGCCCCGTCCGCTTCCTCCCTTCCTCACGGAGCCTCTGAACAGGAGGTCCTACGGTGGAAGGATTTTCGAGGCTAGCTGGATAGCTAGGTCGAATTCTGCCGCTGTCCAGGAACCGCCACCGCGCGCCCCGTCCGCTTCCTCCCATCCTGACGGTGCCTCTGACCGGGAGTTAAATTTATTTACGAAATGTAAATAATTTAAAAATTATAATAATTCCAAAATTTCACGTCTCGATGCACTGGAGAACCTGAAATAGATCTACTAAGTTCTACTTGTGAATTCAAAGAAAGGGTATTACCGTTTTCGAGATAAATTCGGTTCTTTGTAATGACTAGATATCGGATGTAAAGGAAATTGCCTGTTTTATTCTAATGAACATTTGTAAATGTTTTTGATAAAAAGGGAAGAATTATGAAAAATAAACAATTTTGACAAATATTTATTTTGCATATTTTTACGTAAATGTATTTTAAGGCATAATTAATTATCTAAGCATTTTTCTTGAAATTTATTTCTTTTTTCTTCTAGCCCTGGTTACAAATGTGTATTTAAGTTATTTTGACTTTTGCTTATCCTAGTCGATAGAGAAATCTCAATTTTTTGGCTAGTTCTACACAGAGGACGTTATTTGTGTTTGAATTTCAGATTCTATATTTTTAGAGATCAAGCGCTGAGTTTGAGCAAGTCTCAAGGAGAAGAAGCGGTAGCCCGTAGGTGGCGGGCGAGCGGTGGGTCAGATTCGCGAAGCAAACATCACTCGCTTTCTAGGGGGCAAGTCGATAACATTGACTTCCGACATTGATATCTCACCGTCCCACATGTTCGTCCAGGGAAAATAATAGAAGGGAAAGAAGACTCTATATTCAAAGAATTACATTTTACATCTCTTTCGTATGCCAATAATGAACAGTAAAGGCAATTAGAACATTTATTTTTGTCATTTCTAGGCTTTTACTAAATCAGAATATTAGGCGTTTTTCTATTGAAAAGAATGTTACAAAATCATTAATTTTCCCTCATTTTATAAGATGTAAATACAATTGTTCTGCTAAATTTAGATACAATTGCAACGGAATATATTAGTGCTTTTCCCCTCCAAATTTGTATTTTTGTTTAATTTTTCCTGCTTATGACGATAGGACATTTTCACGCAAGGAAAAATAATACCCACCTCAATTTTGTCTAGCCATTATGTTTTTATTGTATGCTCATGAAGTAATGAATTGTGTTTAATAAATATGCCTTATATTCAGTTTTGTAAGATACTTAAATGACATTACAATTGGTACACAGACAGGCTTAATCAAACTCCTGTAATTATAAAACATAAAAGAAAGGTAACACATTAGTATAAGTATTTTAATCATGATTATGATTCTTTTCTTTTTAACACTCAATATTTTTCAAGTCGTAAAGAAACAGTTGTGCAAATGTTAGTTGCAGATACAACTTTTATTTCACGTGGAGTCGACGCTTTACATTGGGGGTCGCCATGTTGAGAGAAGAAACCATAATAATTCGTTGCTTCGTTTCCGTGATATCCTTTTCCTTTACTTGAAGGTGAATCAACACCGTTCATCTGTTGCAGGTCGTGGGTGCGTGCATGGACGGCTTTCTGTTCGGCGCGTGCTGCAAGCTGCCGCCGGGCGTCGACATAGGCGCCATGCCGCTGCCGGCCGAGCCGCCGACCCTGCCCCCGCCCCCGCCGCCGCCCGCGCCCGCCGCGGCCGCCACGCGCCCGGCCGACCCCGTGCCACCACTCACGGTGGACCACCCGGAGGCCGACACCGTGCTCATGCACCACAACGGCTCAGAGGTGAGCAAGGGTTTCGGATACTCCAACAATTGAAGGGCTAGGTCGTAAAAGATGCTACACGTAAAAGTTGCAAATTGGAAAATGCCGGGCAGGGTTATACTCGGATAGTTCACAGAGTTTATGAACCATAGCTGACTCATATATTTTTTGCAAAACGTTTTTTTTTTTGTACATTCTGCTATCCATTTGACGTAAATGTAACCAATTTTAAAATGAATTACATTACTGGAAAATATAATTTATATTGAAGTTTTCAGCATTGAGATATTTTTATGCATTTTCTAAGTATTTGAATATCTTTATATTTATTTTGAATAACATATCTTTAAAACTAACTATGGGATATTTCGTAATATATAGAAAAAATAATAAACATATTTCTATATTTACATTTCAGAGAGCGGGAATCCATTAAATCTTAAAAGATGCGTAATAGTTAACTCTGGCATTTAATATATGTGTATTTTGTTGTAGGTTTTGGACAACGAACTTTCAGAAGAACTCTTTAAACCATCTACTCTTCAGCGGCCGACATATACGGAGCCAGAAACGGAGATACTATATCCTGTTGCTACGCACACCACTTTGGAGCCGAAACACACAACGTTCTCCCTGGTCACCAACGTTCACGAGTATACGAACGAGAGAGTGACCAACGGTCGACCAATGTCCACAGTTGGGACGAGCGGAACAACATATCAAACTTCCAGGCCACCCTCCGCATCTTACATCACGCGTCCAATCAGTGGATCTTCCCCTAGACCTCACACGAGTACTACTCACTTCTTCCATAGCACACCAAGCAAGCCCTCTGATTATTACTCCCACCAGACGTCGCCGCGTCCATTGAGTTCCGATTCATATTTCACAGTAGCCCGACCGAGTATTTCTGATATTTATGCAGATACTCCTTCTGCTACGACGAGGCCGTCTGCAGGTCTGACCCCCACTCAGTCCAGTCAAGGCAAACCGAATGATGGAGACGAAATTGTAACGGAAAATGTTGAGTCAATCAATCACATCCTGTGGATACTGAACGACACGGAACCATTTGCTGATCCGGAGCCGATGCCCGGACCAGAACCGATTCCTGATCCGGAGCCGGAAGCTGTTGCACAAGGAGGCCTCTCTACTTGGGGTTCCGTAAACGGTTTAGAAACTTCCTCGTTGAGACCGACGTCCTACAGACCTGTGGGAACGCCGACAAAAACTACCCCCTCTGTGTTAGTAACATCTGCTGGAAGACCGGTCAGTTCTGTCACCGAAAATTATCATAAGCCTTCCCATTCATCGTCATCCAATGGCGCTGTATCTGAAACGTTCAGACCTAGCATAGCGCAGACACTGCAACACCAAACGTCATCGTTCTACCATACATCTCCGAGACCATCAAAGCCTCCAGCACCTACTGTCATAGTACTGAGCCCTCTAAGTTCCGATTTTACGACAACAAGCAGGCCTACGTCCAAACTTCCTACTAGTCCAGCACGCCCAACAACACAAAGACCGCCCAACAGACCATCATCGAGACCTACTCGCCCAACTTTACGACCCACGACTCGCCCAACGTACTCCTCTCCTAGGCCAGATTTCTCTACAACTGAGGATAATGAGGAGACCAATTGGACCAAACATCCCTTGATCACTGTGTCCAGACCTTCAACCAATGGAGTTCGACCACCAAGCTCCGATTATCATCATCATTTCACATCCACTTTGGGATCCGATAGTTATCCTCACACGCGACCAGTAAACGTGGACACTACGAGTTACGCACCATCGACAACAGTTACCTTCAGACCTTCACTAGGAAGCGGAGTTTCTTTCTCAACCTCTCGACCAGGGGATAAATATACTCCAACATTCTCCCCAGGCCTTATAACTACTCTTATCACAAAACGTCCGCCACTGCCTGTCACTGCTATTCCGTCAGTGACAACGCCAACTCCATCACAGACTCCTACAATTCTGTACACCTCCAGCACAGCTATACGCCCGTCTCTCGGTTCCATGCGGCCGTCATCTCAGACGACGCTCTACGCTCACAGCACAACTCCAGGTGGACCGACTATTATTACAAAATTCCCGACAACGGAAGAACGACCTGCCACTTCCGTTGATGACTTGGCAAATTTCCCACCAGTAAGAAATCCTCAGCTGAACACCAGCTTTTCTCAGCACGAACGACCTCCTTTGTTGACCCTGACGGAAAGGCCTGTGCAGGTGACGGAAGCAGCTTTAGTACCAGAAGATGAGCTGCTGGAAAATGAAATAACTACACCGGAGTTCGTTGAGGATGACAAATTGAACACGAAGATACAATTATTCGTCGATAAAATTGTGGAATCTCTCCAAGACAACTTCCAAGATTTAGAAGACGTATTGTACAAGAGGAAAAATGCAACTACGGTGCAACCAAGCTCGGTGAGTTTGTAATAACATAAAATACTCTAAGGTTACGGAAGGTCCTCAAAAATTCATTCTTTAGTGTCACCTCAAAATCTTACACTTCGTAAATCATTATCTTTACGCAACTAAAAGCGGTGCCCTTTTGAATACAAATATTCAAATTACAATTAATCACCAATTGATTTTATTTACAATCATAATTGTAACTAATATTGAATAATCTGGCTCCTTGAGGAAAATGTTAGGACTGACTCTTACTATCTGAAAAGCAGCAACATATTGGTAACCGTATAAAGGTGCAGCCAGAGTGGATCCGTGTTCAGCCGAAGAGAAGTTTGCGCTGATTTATTTTACCTAACGATAGTTCGTACCCTGTAATCGACCATACCAGACATCCGTCTTCAAATTATTACGTAAATGAGATGTAGAACAGAAGCAGAAAAGTTAAAACTGCCCTCTGAGAGATAGGTCATTTGAGAAATATATTTATGAAAGGAAGACACATTCCCCTTGTATTAGTAAGGATAGGTTGTTTGACAGAAACTTTCAGCAAAACGTTTTATTCATTTATCCTCTTCCTTGCTATGGTACCTTGAATCGGTCTGATATTCGGCTTGTCGTACATGAACTATAAACACAAGTTTCAACAAGACATTAATACTGAATGAAGCAGTTGGCTAACATAATTCAAATTCATTTGATGTTATTTTTATTTGGGCTTCAGGGATGTTTGATAGAGCTTTTCTGACGCGGTGATACCGGTCCTAAGTTCAAGTGAGTGTTCAAATATGTTCGGCCGAAAATGGCTTCCCTCTGATCGCACCACAACGAACGCATAAATAGATGAAATACTTGAGGATAAATTGACAATAAATTCAAAACTACGGAAATAAACCATATTAATAATAATAAATTATTTTAATCATTTTCACATAAGTTAAATACAGTAGGAGCACTCAAATGAACAAGGGCTTGTGCTCGGGAGCAGTTTAAATAAGTTTATAAAGAAAACAAAAACTGAAATATGGCACAGACACATTTTTTATACAACAATTTTACAAAACACTAACCTAATGTTCATACAGAACATTATTCAAAAAATGTGTATAAGATAATAAAACTAGTGAGAACTACATGATGATTGTACTAATTTAAAGAAAGAAACTAACAAAGGAAGGAAATATTTATTTTAATTAAATGCCGTAAATAATAAATTTAATTGTTTTCATGACTGACGATGTATCTTCTAATAGATCCCTTGAATTCCTTATTGTTTAGTTTGCTAACTTACTGTGTGTGTACAATACAGATTTATACAGAATCATGAAATATTTATAATCCGAACTGGTGTTACATTTCATTTCATGTAAGAATATACAGCTATTTGGTCTTGTGCAGTGTCCACGAGTCGATACTAGGAATTTTGATATATTTTTGTAAAAATAGCATAAAAATAGTAATTTATAATTCTTGAATTTTAAATGTATTAAACTCTCTAAATGTTAGCGTTGTAGAGAATTCCATTGGTGTACACAAGCAAATTTTGCTAATGCGTTTTAGTAGTAATTGCCGCGCTGCCCGCAGACGCTGCCGCCGCGCCGCCCCACCACCACGCGGCGGCCGTCGACGCAACAGCTGACCACGCGGCGCCCGCAGCGGCCGTCGGCATCCACGCCGTCGCCACGCCACCCGCCGCCCACGCGCCCGTCCACCGCGGCCTGGGCGCCGCCTCCACGCCCACGCGCCGCCCACGCGGCCCTCCACGTCGGCGCCCGCGGGACGCCGCCCGCCGTCCACCGGCGGCCCAGCCGCCCGCCACCTCGCGCCGGCCGACCGCTCGCCCCACGACGACCACCACCACCACCAGGTAGGGGGTCCATCGATATGACGAGCCATATCGATAGTTTGAACGTCGATGTCGAAGCCGATGGTCGACCGCGGAAGCAGGCGACGGACTGACGAGTAGCTACCTGTTTCCTTAGCGTCTCCTCTTGCATCTCGGACCGCTGTCTGCTTTATTTGAACGTTTTCGCGGGCACCATTGACGTTTTCTGGAAGTCTTTCCTGCTTTTGTCCCTGACATTCCTTCCCTGATGTCCTCGCTTTCTCAGACACTCAATGTTCCTTTCTCAGTATGACTGACCCAGTAGTCAAATAAAAACGGCCCACCCGCGAGGTGAAAACTAAATTATTTTAAATAATCACTTCTTCGAGTGATTGAATTGAGCTTAGATATTTAATTGCTTTATTTTCTACGTGGATTAAAAAACAAGGGAGATATATTTTGTATTAAAAAATAATTTTAATTTTTGTTAGATAATTAAATATTATTTTAATAAAATGTTCTTGGCGATTATTTACGATTAGACTAGTATACAATATTTCGTTAAGTTATTGATCTCTTTTTTCAGTATTATTATTTATTTTTCACGTGCAATATATTAATAGAGTGGGTAAGAAACAGGTAGCTACGCTCGGCTCTGAGCTACAGTATTTATCAATTATTCACTTATTGTAGAAAGCATCATCGAATGATCTCGCACATTTACTAACAATTTTATTTATTTGGCTTGATTAACTGTTGACGATTGTTGCAAACAAATTAAGATCTAACAGCATGAACTAGAATTATTGCTGAGGGTCGCAGCTAAAGTTATGATCCAAGCATAGATATTAATCAGCGCTTTAGAAGGCATCGCGACAGTGGCGGCGACCGTACATTTATACGTACTGGAACACTAGGGTTCAACTCCCAAGCCCCACAAGTCAGTGAATGGCGTCTGCTTCCGATTTAGGACAGGCTTGCCCTTTTCTGCCTCTTACCCTACCCCGATTCTCTGCAGTACAAGACCCGCTGTGGATGACGGGACGGTTACCAGACCACACGACTAGCCTTACTCGACTATACTTCCAAATTTGACTCTTTTCTGAAGAACTTTGATTCTTCGACTACAATTCTTACGCTGACTGAAGGACAAAACATTACGTTACCGCGGATTTGAATCCCAGCTTTCCAGAACTATCACGGACTCGCTGCCATCGAACCGCTGTGCCTTTTCGAGACACACGCCCTCTAGCACAACCCGAATGGGTAAACTAGAATCCGTGACACAGAAATACTGGTTGGTGGCAATATAAAGGAACTACCGTTTCGAGAAAACACTTATCGATATGGTATCGAATCTTGCATATCGATCGGCCCCCGTTACCTCCTCCAGGCGACCGCCACGGCCGTCCACCACACGACCAAGGCCTACCAAGCGCAGTACTACCACCTCCAGCACTACCAACCTAATTCAAGAGGAGGAAGCCACGAAGCCGACCAAGATCTCAACCACCACGCCGTCGTACACGATCACGAGCGCCCCGCCAGAGACTACCACGCCGAGCAGGGAGGTGGAGCCAGTGGTCGCAGAGACCACAGACGAAGCTACCACGATGCCTGCCACTGTGGCTACTACTATCACCACCACCACCGCTGTCACCACAACCACCACGCCGAAGCCGGTGGACTACAAAAACGGTAAGCTTCCTGCAGTCAACTATTTTATATCGTCACTTCACAAATGGACTAATGATCTTTTTTTCATCACTTATCACAAGTAGATCTATATGAGTTTACTTTTGCCACTTAACTAATAAGTATTTCATCACATAGTACAGTTTTTTTTATTACTATCATCTACTGATGAATGTAGGAAGAAAATTGATAATGAAAACCTTAATTTCGATTAAAAAATAATTAAAAAAGATAATATTTTATCTACAGCAAAATAAAACTAACATAAAATACATAAAAATGTTGTTAAAATCGTCAACTTAGTTCAAATGTAGGCAAATATGACTCGAAAGTGAATCTTCAGAGTGCATGCACACAGAGAAAGATCCCCTTGTTAATGTTAATGTAATAAACCAATCCGCGCTCTGGCTGTGAGCTTTCATTTTAGTAGCGCTGAATGAGTCATCTTCTATTCAAATGCGTCAAGAAGAAAGTATGCCACGCAGTATCTTCCTCGAACTATTAGTACGGTTCTGTTTACGCCCCCTGCTCTACATTCCACTGACATATAGGATAATATGTTTTCTCCTTGTCCTGCCACAGGTAATCTTCACTTTATCGGCCAAACATCTTCACTTCCTGTGGTTTATTTAATTTTCTTCATTCTGTTTCTTAAAGAACTCTGATTAATCAATGTCTTCAATGAAACTTCTCATGTGGGATGCCATTACGCCTGAAAGATATGCTTCCCTCACAACACATCTGTAGAGCGTGTTACCTAATTCATACACAGAAATACGCGTTGGTGATAAAAAACTAATATCTACTTCAGAGGAGAAACAATATTTTATACCATGCCTAAAACACAATTTTCTGGCCCATTTTATAAACTCAATTTCTTTGTTTTTGTTCATATTTGTTTCCTAGAATGAACGGGACAATATTGTAAAAAAAAGCTTTAAAGTGAGGACAATGGAAATAAAAAAAAAAACTACGATCATTGAATACATATAGAAATAAGTCATGAGTTTCTCATGCCAGTTAATTAATAATTGAAATATTATTTCGATAATACAGACAATAATGTTTTACGACCAGTGTATTATGTCACGACATTACCACAAGAAATTACAATTATTTCCTTTCACATTGAGAAGATTTTACTTATGAGAAATTCCAAATAACTTTCTTCTGTTGCCCTTTCAACCGTTGATATAAAAATTTACACCCCTCATATATTTTTACTTTTTTCAATGCAATTTACTCTCTTTCAAATGAATAATTATTGTAGATTGTGGTTTTTGAGAGCTAAGTGGCCTTATAATGATTGAACTACACAGGAAAACCCTGTAGTTAATTTTTAATTTAACTATTCAAAACATGGCTAAAACATGTCGATATATTCAATTACCGTGCATTTGTGCATCATAATTTCAGACCGCGGATCTGCTTTCAAATGTTTAAACTTTCGTTTTAAAACAGATGCGCAGCAAAATATAGGGCGTAATTCGGAATCCAATAAGCTATGTTTTCGCTTGCCTCATATAGTAATCCGTTCCTAGTCAATAATGAGCAAAATTCTTCCAACAGTTGTAAACATCCATTATATTTTATTACGTTATTAAAATTATTGCACCATTAAATTTAAAAAAATGAAGTAATGCACTAACATCAAAACTGTTATAATAAGTGTATACGTTTGATAGTGTACACGTGTGATAAGTGTATACGTTTGAAAAAACTCATTGTAACGAGGTAACTTCTAATAAAATTCAGAGATACGAGTCGACCGATGTCCATATTTCACCAATTGGTCCAATTTGCGCCATGTTACAATGTGAGTGTTAGCATATTTTGAGATGTAGTTAAAGGCTCGTGGCTACATTAGTAATATTTCCATAACAAAGGTTTTCTTAACAAGACAGCCATAGAGTTACGATGAATTAAAACAATATTTTCCTGAAGAAACTTTGAAAGATTCTCTTTGTTGATTGCCCACGTTTCTTTACAGTACACAAAACATGGAACGGACAACCGCGAGGCAAATTCTGCGCTTCCGCAACACCTGCAACCTCTCTCTTCCCATGATCTGCCGAAATTTGTAGGGATGTGGATAACATGACACGGAAAATTACATTGATGCTCTCAACTCTTCTCTATTCAGCTATGTATTATTCCTTTATCTGTCTACCGCATCTTTTATTTGTAACAGTAGCATGAAAACCAATCTTTCTTCCTATTTCTTTTTCCTTCAATTTTTCTCTCGAACCTCCTTTACTCCAATTTCTGCATAATGTAATATGGCTTAACCAAATTGCTTTATTTTTTTTAAGAATTGTCTTTGTCTCTGACTCATAAGCATATTTCGTTATTTCCAGTATTGCAGGATCATTTTACTTCAATAATGGTTTTCGGAACACGATTACAAACGCTCTAAATACATTGCTGAAACATTGCGCCAAAATTATAAAAGTCGTTGACGCCAAGTTTCTAACATTAACCGTTGTCTCGATATAACATGAAGATAAATGAATTACATTTATGTTTTAAAACAAAGCAATCCACGATAGTAGTCTAATAACTTGTTTTCCTATATTGGCGCGAAGTTAACCATTAATTCTAAATTGGGAGGTTTTCGGCAACCAACCAAATCAAGAAAAATATCTGAATGTCTAAATGATCGACATAAGGCCATTGCCCACGTTTATAATCGATATTCCTCTCTACGTCATGTAATATTTTTTACTCATAAATAAAATAAATAAAATAAATAAAATAAATAAAATAAGTAACATAAATAAAATAAATAAATCAATCAAAAACGATAAATAAGATAAATACAATAAACAATGAAATCTCAATTAACAATATAAATAAAATAAATACAATAAACAAAATAAAAGTTCTGGCGCACCGTGCCTGACACCTTTGTTGCCTGGCGCAGAATGCGGCGTGCGGCCGCTCATGCAGAAGTACGGCCGCATTGTGGGCGGCAAGGGTGCCACCTTCGGCGCGTGGCCCTGGCAAGTGCTGGTGCGCGAGTCCACGTGGCTGGGTCTCTTCACCAAGAACAAGTGCGGCGGGGTGCTGCTGTCCAACCGCTACGTCGTCACCGCGGCGCACTGTCAGCCGGGGTAAGCGCACCGCACGTTCGCTGGCTGTGTCAGCAGGGCCGGTAGGGCAGAGAAAAGCAGCAAGGCAGGAATGCCAACGCAGAAAACGTTTTTGAATTTAGATTCAAACTTTTGCTTGTCTTTGAAGTAGCACGTAACGCAAGAGTCTTTGTTTCTTTAGACATTTATATCAAGGTGTAAGAAAAATTACTAATTAATGATGAATTGATTTCTGTCTCGTTTTGTTATTTGACGACTCGGGAGTCTCGGTTTACTTCCATTATCAGGTCATCTACAATTTTACATTATTACGTAGAATTGGTTACAATAATGTCAAAATAATTGAATTTTTAACACAAGTATGTTATCTCTTCTATTTTGATCATTTAAAATATATTCGATGTAGTATGCGACATAAGTAATCGTGCTCACCTTGATTAATATATGATAAACATTTGGTTCATATGTTTTGCTCCGTATGCATTTTATGTGATATTCTATTCATTCAAAACCACACTTTACGTAGGGGTCCTCATATGGGAGCTTCCACAATAACCACCAAATATCGGTATTACATGCACAGTCTATTGGTAGAAAAGAAAAATATCCACCAAATGTCGGCATAATATACACAATCCATTGGAAGAAGCTCCTACCCCTGTCGGACTCCTACATAAATTGCGGTTGATGATTGTGTAAAATAATAAACGAATGGTGCACGCGAGTTGGTAGAATAAGAGGTAAGGAAAACGGGAGATCTCCGAGGAAACCTGTTGAGAATTCCCTTTGTTCTCCTCAAACATTACACTGGTTGGCCGGGTATCGAACTCGGGCCCCAGCGGTGGAAGGCATATGTGCTAGCCACTACGCGACAAGCCCCCCTCCCCATTTGTTTCAACTTGAAGTCTGGTCCCCCAATACCAAATCAAACGTTGCGATAGTGCTGGCAAATTCGCGAGTGCACGCCAGCTAACGGGCGCGCTTCTCTCCGCAGCTTCCTGGCCAACCTGGTGGCGGTGATGGGCGAGTTCGACCTGTCGGGCGAGCTGGAGTCGAAGCGCTCCATCACGCGCAACGTGCGGCGCGTGGTGGTGCATCGGGGCTACGACGCCGCCACCTTCGCCAACGACCTGGCGCTGCTCGAGTTGGAGACCCCCGTGCAGTTCGACGAGCACGTGGTGCCCATCTGCCTCCCGCGCGACAACGAGGACTTCACGGGCCGCGTCGCCACCGTCACCGGCTGGGGCCGTCTCAAATACGGTAGGAGCAGCCTACGGCAAGGAGCGTTCATCTCGCGGGCCAGGCTGCGCAGACGACCGGGAGCGCGTGCACAATATCCGTCAGTGCACAAGAAAAGTTACACAACTCAAAAATCGTCATTCATTAGTTCAGTGAAGTGAATATGGTGACTCGTTTCAGTTGAACAAAAAAAACTGTTTTTCCTTAATTAGATGAAAAAATCTACATTGTTATTTTGCTGGAAAACGCTATTTCCGACGTCCAGAATTTTGTGCTTAAAGTGAGTCGAAGCGCGGAGTATAATTCTACAATAGCACTTCTAGTCTTGGGAATGCGCCCAAATTTCCGATGACGTACAGACTGCTATGAAATTGGAAAATTACAAAAGAACACTTTCTACTAAATCTATGCTTCTGAGATCAAAACAGTAAATGAATTGTTTATTTTTAATATTATGAGGAAAAATGTGTGTGTTTTTTTACATGAAATGACTCAGTCTTTTAGAGAAGTATATATTTTTACTCGAAAAAAATCACAAAAACAGTCAAGATACGGAGTAAAACAATTCGTCCTGGCGAAGTCAACTGCTCCGCTTACAGGTTAAAAACTGTTTTCCTTGCAAAACGGAAATTTTTGATACGTGTCACTTTTCTTGTGCAGCGAAGAAATGGCAAAGAATGTAGCGGCTAAGAGAGTGTCACCACTGTGCAATCCATGACGGCACCTGTACCTGAACGTACAGTGTGAATTACCTGATCCGACCATAAACACCTCATTAGAAGGTAGTACGAATCCAGAAAGTAAGTTAGCTTCCCTAGGTCATCAGCAAAAATAAAACAGTTTCATGGAAAAAGATTTATTTCAGCAGATGCATGATATGTTGTACAATTTTTCACATAATCACCATCAGAACTGAGACATTTGTCATTCCGTTGGATCAACACTTGCCGAGCGTAATTGCTGCACAAGATGTATTGCGAGCCGAGCCGTTTGTGGCCTACTGGATGACCATCCACCCTACAGTCCGGATCTCGCCTCCCAGCGATTTCCATCTTTTCTTACATCTCAAGAAATGTCTGCCCATTCAGCATTACCACAGGGTCGCAGAGTTGCAGGTGGCTGTCGAACACCGGTACCCTACGTGGAAGACTTCTACGACACAGAGATACATCTGTTATGACAAATGCCTCAGTTCTGGTTGTGATTATATGAAAAAATAGTGCAACATGTGCTGAATCTGTTATAATTTTTTTCAGGAAATTGTTTTCTTTCTGCTGACGACCTAGAGAAATGTTCCTTCTGGATGCGCCTCGTATTTTCCTTAGCGAACGTTTCGCTTTATTTCGTCAGCCATTCTAGCTGCTTAGTGAAAGATACGAAAAAAGGAGCCCGGCTGACAGATAATCGTCCCGTTCGAATAAGTAAAAGGATAGGAGATTGCACATCACTCGGCAATGCAACATATAAGCGCTCTAGCGCCGCGCGACATATTGTTAACCCTGAGAGAGAAGACATTTTAAACGTGATCCAGGAGTATATTTGATTGTAACGAGAATGAATGAGTATTCATTTACTTTTATGAAGGCTCTGATACTCCATTATTACACTGTTTCACTCAACGGATCATTGTGAATGGCAAACCGTTTCATTCACTCGAAGCTGTCATTTTGGTAAATAACCGACGGTGCATCTGCACGAATCAATTGATATTCAATAATCATAATTAGTAATAATCAATCAGCGATAGAAATATACTAAAATCGGTCACGGAATATAGTAAGTATTTATGCAAACACTCAACCATATCTCCTTCCATCTCGCTGTATCTCCAATTTATAACATTATGTCAAATTTCTGAAACAAGTACCTACTAATTGAAGGGCTCAGTAGAACAAGGGGCTATACCACATTTTTTGTGAAATTGATGTATTAGAATTAGATAAAACTTCAAATATTATCATTTTAGTGCAATATGTTATTTAAATCCAGTATGGACTTGTACGCAAGTGTACTGTGTTGAAAAGTGTACTGAGTATATTATGAAAGTTCTAGTAAGACACTCAATGACCCAGAACTAGGTCAATTTGGAATAGGCCCTTGTTCTACTGATCCCTTCAATTATTTCTTCCAGTGGCGCCTTGTGCCAACAATCTCGGAAGTTCACGAAATAATTACAGTGAGATATAATCTGTTACAGACGTCACTGTCAATAGAATCAGGCACCATTACGTCAACTTGACTCCTCAAGATGCCTGGTTTTATTGGCGGAGACGTCTGGTTCGGGTACCATCTCATTGATATTTAACTACCACAAAAATTAAAAGATATGCATAAAAAATAGGAACATGCAACGTGTACAACAAACTTGATTGTTAAAAGGAACCTTGGATTATTAAACACCTGTGCGAAACAAAATATTTTACGTATTTTGTTTCTGTTTGTCTATTAAACCAAGATTTGAGGCGAGATTGACAAAGAATGTTAGTGTTTTCTGTATTAATTATCTTGAATGTGCGTACCCAATTTTGTATTTCTCATTACTTAGTTTTGTAACGTAGTTCTGAAATAATTATTGACTATTCTGAGATAATAATACACATTAAATAACTGGGATTCATCAGCAAAATATGTATGATTATATTTAATACAGAATACAATTTCTCAATAAGCCTTAATTTTTCCAAGGAGTATATTTTGTAGAGAGCCGCTCGAGTGGCTCATGGACAGTGTGCTAGCTTCCTGCGAGTCGGTTCCGGATTCGATTTCCAGCCGAAGCAAAAGTGAAGCTGCAGCTTTCTAAGACATATCATGTCAGTGTCTAGTATAGCTGCGTGACGAAAGAAAGCCCAAGCAGGCCAAATAAGCTAAGTACGATGATGGGAAAACGTCATGCTCGCCATATCTCTCCCTTTCCCTCAGGCGTGTACAATAAACAAACCAGGGCCCAAGCCTCGGAACACCGCTAGCTAAAGAAGGATTAATTGCCAAATACATACATACATCCTATTTTGTGAAGCACCAATCCTGACGGCACGACCCGCCCCTTCTTTCTTGCACGACCTGTCCTGACGGTAGCGTGGGGCGGGGCCGCCAGGCGGGGGCGTGCCCTCCGTGTTGCAGGAGGTGCAGGTGCCGGTGATCGACAACTCCGTGTGCCAAGAGATGTTCCTGACGGCGGGCCACCAGAAGCAGATCCTGAGCAGCTTCCTGTGCGCAGGCTACGCCAACGGCCAGAAGGACTCCTGCGAGGTGAGCGCTACGCCAAAGCAAAGAAGGCTGTCACGCGTCGGGCGCGCTCTACTTCTGCAATATTCTGAAGAACCTAAGTCACCTAGGCGATCTGACGTTTCAGCTACAATGAGGAACACCAACTTTATTAATAGGGGGCAGATTTTAATGAAATGCCATTCTTTTCTTTTCATTTTAGAACAATGTCGTTTACTACAGACATTAATTGTATGTTATGACAAAAGGAAATGACCCATTTTTTTCATTTTTCGTCGATTACGATTAATAAGCCATTTTTTACCTTTTCAGTCACTTTCAATGCATTTCGCCTGATTTCATTGATTTTGCTATCATTGTAATGGTACTTGCTTCAAATAATATTTACGAGATGCAAAATGTTCTCCACAGAGTTCCTGAGTAACCTATTCGATTATTTTTGCTCATATATTTTAATGTCAGCCGGTGTTAGTACTACGTAATCTATGGTTCCTGTGGTGCCTATCAGCGTCATTGTCGGTTCGGCCGATTTCGCGATAAATAAAGGCAAAGATTTTCCAGTAAATAACAGTTATAATTCTTTGTAATAAAAGAACAAATCGGGTGGACACTATACCTGTAGCCCATCACACACAAACTCAGAAAAATTCTGGACATTTATCACAGAAAAATATTACAACTGTATATGACATATGGAGGGAGACGTACAATCTCACACATTTTCTTGAGCTCTGGAGTCTCAAGCCTCCGTCTTTTACTATATTTAGTTGATTTATGATTAAAGTAGCGGTGGTCAGTTTTGGCAAATTTTAAAGCAAGTAATATTTGTTCCCGTGTAGTATAAACAATTTACATTGGTAAAAAAAGGTACTGTTTTTAATTGAGAGCACTGTTGATGAAATTACCCCCCCCCCTCACTCTACTCCTCCCTATCTAGCAAAACGAGAGCTCAAGAAAATGTGTGCAGATGATGTTACATTTACAGTTCAAAAGTCAAGCAAGAGACTATCTCAGCATTTGCTCAAAGGATCGACGTAAACTTGATGGACAGAAGGGCCTCTAAAACAAATGATAACGTCCGAGCGCGCTACTTGGTTGACTCATACTATAGTGCTGTCTGTTCACAACGCAGGGGCGTATTCAGAAAGTATTTCAGGGCAAGGAATCAGTTTCAGTTCGGACACTATGTTCTTCCCCATATATTAAAAAAATTACAGCCAGAAATAAAAAGTGTTTTCATAATGTTAATTCTCGTGTTACAATCAACACGAGAGACCAGGAATGGTTAGTACCAGTTGGTAGTCTAATTTCGTACTACAGCAAGAAAAGAATTTCAGCAAGAAGCACTTTCAGTTCGGACACACTTTCCTTTCCCTTAATGGGAACTCTAAATTAAATAACGGATACACGGAAATCAAGGATTCAAGGTTTCAGCTAAAAAAGAGAAACAAATTTTTCCTTCTCATTGTTACAGGAGAGAATCAATGAACTACAAAAATATTTATTTCCAAGCTCTACATTAAATTTCAGTTCACTGTGCCACCATCGTTCGGCTGATCATTCTGAGACTTCCGTGGCAAGTTCGTTTGATCGTGAAGGACAATGACACGACGCTAGGACTTATGGAAACTACGTGACCGATGTAGGCACCTGAACCCCAACCAGCCTCGGGCTCTCCAATACGATAATTTTTTTGAATAAATTGAGTAAAATTACCGAAAAATGTTAATTTGGGCGGGAGGAGGGACTTGGGGCCATGCCTCTCCTGCTTCATCCGCCACTGCCATTATGTTGTGTTCTGTTCACAGGGAGACTCCGGAGGCCCTCTGATGCTGGAGAGGCCAGACGGGCGATGGACTCTGGTCGGCACCGTTTCCCACGGGATCAAGTGCGCGGCGCCCTATCTTCCAGGCGTCTACATGCGAACTACCTACTACAAACCGTGGCTCAAAAGCATCACCGGCATCAAATAAGAGCCACATGCCATCAACCTTGCCACCATTATCCGTCGGCAACGACGGCAACGCATTATCTCAAGGGCGAGGATCTCGTGGACGGTCATTTCCGCATCCTCGTAGGCAAGGATGCACGTAACTCACTTGCTTCCCGACCTAATTTTAGTGGACATGCCGACCTCTGCCGTTTTTCTCTTTCGTTCCAAGAGTGTATTACTGGCTCAGTATAAGTCGGTTTGGTTTTGTCGTGCCCGCCATATACAATGAACTTCGCTAAGCGTTAGACGAGATGAATACGATTTCAATCGCCCACTCACTGCTTGCACTGAATTTCAGTGCAATTTAGCAGTTAATATCTTTGTGCCTTCTTACAACATTCAATTCATTTTGTTATCAACAACGTCGTTAGTGCACAAGATATTGGTAGATTTTGTTACGATTTTCACAAATTCTATCGAATCAAAGTTTGAAAAGAGTTGGGCTACAAATGTGCCATTGGTCGCCTCGAAGATAAGTAACGGAGTGATTCATGAACTCAATGTGAATAAGAAATAAAGCATTTATGTACTACTCTCCAAAAAGTCACACGAAAATGATTCAATTATGAGTACTCCAACTAAATCCGAGAGTCCGAGAAAAGTATTGTAGTGAAGTGTTAGGAACTTATATTTATGGAATTCTGTGTCAATTTTCGCAAATGGACGATAAGGCTACAATGCACGGCATAGCATCCATATTTCGCGTCAGCTTCTAATACGTAATGCAGGTTCACTACAAAGCTATTCAGTTTCTGTGCTCTATCACAAAGAAGAGTAATTTATTCAGGAATTTATATTGGGGCAATGAAAGTTTTGGAATAACGTGGCTTAGGTGTTCTTGACGCTCTAATTTCCCTTGATACGGAATTCCTTCTGGTAATGCTTTTAATAGTATGGGGGAATACGCTTAATGCAAGAAGAATAATTAACGCATTTTAGTGATTCGCCGATAAATGTTTGTGAAGTTTCTCAAGTGTTCCTTGTTAAAACAAACAGAACTTTCCTTCAAACGATTGTGGTCAAACATCGCAAGAACATTGCGGAAATGAAGAAAGAAAATATAAATAAAAAGAGGATCTGAAGTACCAGAATATGGTATTTCCACAACAACGCCTGAAAAAACAATTCAATGTCCCTCACATCCCTGTGTAAATAGGTGTCTTGCAATGCACAATATTTTCTTTCCTTGTCAACCACTTGCTATAAACTTGCCCCAATGACTGGAACTTGTTTGCTGCAAAGACTGGTAGACTTGGATCAATACTTGTTTGGTATTACTAGCGTCTTTGTCATGCTCTACCCACCCTACTTATATAGATGACACCTCATGGACTCTATACCATGCAGATATTTCACTACATGAAAATGTGATCATTTAGGGTCAAAAAAAATTTTATTAATTCATTACTCTTCTGAAAAATAATTAATATCCTAAAATAAAATGAAATATATTGACTGAACGTGATGAAATAGCTTAGCCCTGTTTGTTAAGTATTATTATAAGGATACCTTTTAGAACCCCTTTAACTTTCAAAAGACGGCTGTTAAGTAGTCAAAATTTTTTACTATACTAATAGTCAAAGCCAGAAATATACTTAATTTTTGATGAAATTACTTTCAGCAAGGAGAGACTTTCTGTTTTGCATGGCTCACTCAACAATACACATAATTGCAGTAGAGAAAAATGATGGAGTAGGAGATGGCAAGTGCAAATTGCATTACCACAATGATATTCTTCTTCAGTTACATGACTTTACTTGTAAACGTAGAAGTGAAATGGCACAATAAGATCTTGAAATGTTGCAGTTGGAGTACAATTGATCTTCGCACTTTTCCACCTTTATCATATGAATGAGAATTCAACATGCATGAAACAATCAGATGGCCAAGTTTATTGGACATTGGTTGGAAAAGACGTAGCTCTAACACACTGTAGTATACCTGACTGTGAGAGAAATCATGAGATAATCTAATAAGGTTCTATGATTATCAAAGCAAATTTAGCTTTTTAAGTGAATAACCAGTTATATAAATGAAGGAGATTCAGAAATATCTTAATGTTCCTAACATTATAGCCACCAGGAATAAAGAGTTAAATAGTTTTACCACTTGAAAGACATTTTCGTCCACATACAACTTGTACAACATTGATCACAGGTTTTCATAGGAAATGACAAACTCATGTTCTTTAATCATGGGAAATCATTGTGTACCACACAGCTTGCAAAAATTGACACAAATAACTAGTGTCATGGGTAACTTGAAGCAGTGCATAATACTTTAGTAATTTTGGGAAATCGTTCCACAGCTTTTCTACCTCTAATAAAAAAATTACATAATGAATATCACTGATTCTTGTAATGACAAATACATACTGAATACAAATGCAACACATCAGGTTTGCCCATGTATTGACATTTCTCCATTAAATAACATTATATTTGTTAGAATTCTCTTGAATTACGGTTCCTCTTTTCTCTGTAAAACACAAAAGAAGTGCCATCAATACACATCTGGTTGTAAGAGACCACTTATTTACATATCAAACAGATTTTATTGATAATTGAAACCAATCTATTAAAAGTACTCACATAAATTTAGAATAATGTTTCTTCAATAAAAGCAATTTTTACCATAGATTCATAAGGTCTGATCATCACTAAACTTTTTGTACTTCTAAATTTTAAACAATATAAAATTTGCAAAATATTTCTAAATAGGCAATCTGTTAAAAGCTAATTTTTTGTTAAAAGTTAATGTCAGCAAAAATATATAACAATAAAAGACTTCATATCAGTATGGAATTCAAGTCATCCTACTATCACCATTGCAAGTCACAACAGTTAAGACAGTGCTGGTAAATGAAATGAAATGTGTCGTAATAGTAAATACCTCTTTAAATCAAAAGTAGAGGAGCAGTTCATTCTGCAATTTTGTTATTTTCCTTAGAGTAATTAAATTAAAAAGTACATAAAACATTGAATTATTTTCTTGGTGCTAAAAAAAAATCTCATAAAATTACTTGATGCACTATTAATCATATAGGTAAGGTACAACTAACGCATATAACCACGCTTATATTACGGTAAGTGTAAATGCCAAATATTACACTAGCAGCTTTTTTAAGCGTGCTTTTGTGTACAACAAACTAGAAAAAATTATTGTATATTTAACTTATTTATTTATTGTTTTAATGATGAATTAAACTTCATCAATAAATAATCATAAACAAACTTTCAAATGTGTTTTTTTCCCTTTAAAACCTTACTAATTCCAAAGCTCACAAAAGTATCAAATTTTGATAACTTTTCACTGTTTATATCTAAATAACCAAAATGGATGATTCACTGTTTTTACATAGTAAATTGATAAGTTATTTTTTTATAAAAAAATCATAGTTTGACGAGGAAAAAAGTTTTAAGTACAATGTAAAATGTTACCAAACATTGTAAAACTAAATAATTGTGTATTTCACAGTCAGAACAGTGTGTTTCTGAGGGTATTCAATTTGCAATATTAATATGTAAAGCAGATGAAAAGATATAAAATTAAATACAAAGTGTGAAATGATCTTGCGCTTGTGATATAATTGTTTTCAAATTGTATTTTATGGTTGCCTTGGCTTTCACGTTTTAGCCATGCATACAAAAGAGAAGTACAAGGCTACTTGAAGAGGTGCAATTACATTTACTAGAATGAGTAAGAAAGCAGATCCTTGCCATTCTCAGTTGGTTAGCAATGCTAAACAAGGTTATGTAGTGTCTATCCATGTTTAGTATTGTACATTTTTATTGCTATCTGTAACAAATAAAGATGGTTTGGAAAAAGTTACCCTTAAGCAGCAAGCTGAAAATTACAAATATGATCCATTCTATATGAGTTATGGAAATATAAATTTATGTAACAATAGATTGGGGTGATTGGGAATGAAAACATGAAAACAAAGTGCTACAGAATGATATAAAAAGCAATCAATGCATTCAGGTGCAGGACAACTTAAAAACAAATCAGCACGAAAATAAATGTCAAGCTACTTTGCCAAATTTTGAACTGAAGTCAAAGAAAACACGATACACATGAATAGGTCATACAGTGAACATATAGTCTACAAGCCAACATTCCTTTTAATAAATTGGATGACCTGACCCAAAAAAGTCAAATTAAACGTTTATCGCAGAGCTCATCTTTAAAAATTATTTTCTCAACAAAAGGATACAAAATGCTTAATTTTCATTTCAATAATGCTATATAATGATAATTTTTGTTTTCAAAATGTGATATTTTTCATTTTAAACAGCTAGAATCTACCATTACCAGTTAGAAGTAAATTATACTATATCAGTAAGCTTCCTACCCATTGATATACAATTTCCTCAAGTTTTTTAGAAACATATTCACTGCATAAAACCTAAAAAGGAAATAAAATTTTTGAACTAAGGTTTAATTAGATTCTTATTGGAAAGCAAACATTCTTAAAGCACTGAAGCTTAAAAGGGGAAGGGCACAGAATAGAATTTGTCCCCATTCAGAAAGATTGCTGAAGTATCTTAACATTAATTTTTCTTTGAATATTGATTCAAAATTTAATACGGGCAATTGGTTTCAAAAAGATCCACTTAAATGAGAAAGAACTTATTGATTAATCATCTAAGATAATACAAGGGACCATAGACCAATTGGACAAGTTTCTCAGGTAGAGGAATGATTCAAATTCAATCTCAATATATTTCACTTTTGCAAGACATTTAAATTTTTAACATGTACCAGGTGCAGTTATGTAAAAACTTCTGTAGCATGTTATCTATTTCAAACAAATTAAACAAAAGTACAGACAGACTTCACTAACTCAAAGTGTAGAACAAAATTCTTCAACTCATGAAAAGTTTCAAGCTATCAAAAACGTATTTAAAAACATCACAAATACTTTTAAAACAAATTGCCACGAATATAAATATTAACAATATGAGAGGCAAGTAAAAAAAAATACATTTTTGTAATTTTTGAAAAACAAAAGAATAGAGCATGGCGTTTATGTCACCTTATAGAGTACATATAGAACTATCCCTTCCAAAAGTTTAAAGAAAAAATTTGGAGCCATTTTTGAGAAAATCTGATTTTGTATTTTTTTAATTGCACATATTACGCGAAAACTACTAAAATTTTCAAAAAATGTACCTGACCTTAATGGAAGAACTCTCTATGGAGGACATATTTTATTTGAAGGAAAAATCTCTATCTTCAATTTTGTAGTTGTAGGAAAACGCCCGAAAATTTTGAAATTTTCGATAATTCAATGTTAAACCTGAAAATCGGGCAAATGCCATCTTTATAATTGTATTCTTGCAAGAAATTTAAAGAAAAATCTTGGAGCCGTTTTTGACAAAATTTTGAAAATGTCCGGAGGGCTTCATGTAAAGTACCCCCAAATTTAAAAAAAAAAATTTTTCCAAAATTTCAAAGATTCGACTCGAGCAAGATTGACACGGGTTTCTTCAATTTGGAAAAAATTCTACTCGTGGTTTAGCCGCTAGCAGTGTTCACAGACACCGGACGGACGGACGTTTTGAAAAAAAACCCTTTTTCGGTATCATGAAACCCCAACACGTTTTTTTTTTTGTTTTGTTTTTTAAATTTCTAGCGTCTGGGCGCTTCGCGCTTGGGAGTAATCCTCCATTAATAATCGCGCTATATTTATAATCCTTCATTGGGGGAGTAATCCTCTATTCACATTTTATGTTATTTAATGTCAGGTCTCGTCGCTGTCAATTGTCGAGAGGACCGTCCGGTAGCATCTCCGCTTACGCGCCTCCTACTTCGCGCTCCTGTGTCACAATCCAGCGGCCAGAATTGGGAAGGAATTAGGATAAAGGTAGGGTTTAGGACATTTCACAGGGTTGGACTAGCTCTTGTGAAGCATGCAAACTCGTTTTGTCGTGACAAATTTCACATGAGGTTCTACGGGGATTCTACTGGAATCAAACCCGGAACCTCAGTGGTGAAAGGCAAGCGACTTCGCCACGAGAGCATTTCCGTCGAGATCTCGAAATTGATTATCCGCAGCATTACATAACTTTCCCTATACAACGTATATTACTCCTTATATACGTACGTATACGAGAATGTAAAAAAAGAGCCCTATACACATTAAACCATAGAAATGTTAAAATTCACTATTTAAATTACATTTTATTAATACTGTAAATGAGTTTCGACACAGTACATTACCTTACGTTCTGTCTGTTAAACAGTGAATTTTCACTATTGCTTGTCTAACTGTACTTCACTTGCCTATCTTTCATCCCCTGACTCTCCTTAGTGAGCATGGTGGATTGTGTTCCACTTGGCATTGAAATCGAGTCGCATCTTTATCATAGTGGCAGAGACGTCAGAACTAGGGAGGTTGAAGACACAAGAATTAAACTGGTGGGTGCGACACTTCCATAAACTAAAACATTTTAACAAATGCCAACAGTTTTATACAAATACAAATTGTCATACTGTGGCGAAACAGCGCGCTGCTTTACAGACAGGAAGACGGACTATATTGCTTTATTCATTATTTCGAGTACTGACCGCCATCCAACGTAGTGTCACGTCAGCCCCTTCCTTCGTAACATTGTGTCACGGCCAGCGGTTTCCGGGGACAGTGCGGTTCGTTCCCTTCCCCTACCCCCACCCCTAGCTTAAATCCTCTCTGTTGCGAGACACGGCTTTCTCCGAAAAAGGTCTCAAAGTCACGGATCGAACGTTTAATCGCTGGGCGCAGGCGGTGAATATCACAAGACATTGTGGTTTGAAGTGATTGGGTGTTCATCTATCCCGCCACACTGGCCAATTCGAAATTACGAATCGGCTGCGTGCAGCCGAGCGAGTCGTGGAAAGGAGGAAGTTTGGAAGGAAAATTGCGCCGAGTAGATCGGCCTCGCTTGATTTTCGCTTCTTCAGCGCGGTTACTTTTGCTGGAGCTCTCACTTTTATATCACTATTTTCCTGCCCTCGAAGCCCCAAGAACTTTGAACAACGCCGGCCAGCGAGCCCCCAAGTCCACTATCATTGGCGATAGCGCACTGGCCGCCGCCGATTATAAATATGGTAGCCAGAATTCCGTTGGTATATTCAGACCAGGGTTAGGTGGGTCGACTGTAAAGTAAATGCAAGGGACGAGTAATTAAAGGCGTTAGCTGCTAGGCTGTTTCACGGGCAGGGCCTGACTTATAGCGAGCGCTATATAAACTGAAATTCGTTTACCGACGACAGCATTTCCAGTCGCGCCCAGAGTGAACGTAAATTAGCTCCCACGGATGCATCGCGGCTGCATGGACAAAAGGCGCAACATGCAGCCGCTACCCTGGCGCCGTTACTGATCGGCTGACCTGAGAGCGTAATCTCACCTCCACGGCCACAAGCTTCGAGGAAAACTACAATGTTGGAGGGCATTCTCCGGGTAAATTTGGCCTGCAACCATATTAAAGGTTTTTAGTTGTGGTCCTTAAGGACTTGCAAGTTGGATACCCCTGTGATAGCATTTAATTTCCTATTCGTGCAATTTATATTTATGCTTAGAAGTTCAATCATTTCTTTCAAAATTTCTTCTCTTTCCGATTTTTCTCATTTCTTTATTAAAATAACCTTTTCTTTTTCTCGTGATGTAGTGAAACCCCTTACACTCCTT